CCCTGCCTGCAGCCTCCAGGGAGCCCCGAGTGAGGCTGAGGCGTTACAAGCAAGAGACATGAAGAAACACTCTCCAGAAGCCAGTTCGGTGTTATCAGCAGCCCGCTCGCCAGCAGGTGGCCCAAGTCTGAGGCTGACCCCCCTGAACTAGCACACTCCTTGCCTATTGAAATGGCACTCTGCCCACACATGTGGAAAAAGACCTCAGTATGAACATGTTCAAAAACTCAAACCCAGAGTCCAAAGAACAAACAGCATAAATACAAACATTAGAAAACCAGGGAACACCTGAGCCCAATCTATGGCTTTTTGATGTGAATTATCTTGATTGAGGAAATCTTGCTTTCTTGGCAGGATCTCAGGTAGCCCAGGCTGGCCTTGAACTCTCTATGTAGCTCTCAGGTAGCCCAGGCTGACCTTGACCTCAGATCCTCCTGTCTTCCACCCCCAAGTGCTAGGATGACAGGCATACACCACAACTGGCTGAAAATATTCCTACCATCATAGAGGATAGCCTCAGGGAGTCTAATCCCCCACCCCTGCACCCCAGGGTTGATTGACACAGCAGTGTCCCATCCCCTACCATTCAGGGCAAAAGCCTTGACTTCCTTTACAGGATCACAAACAGGGAAGGCAGAGCTTTTTCTGGATTAGTTCCAACTGGACAGTGGCCCTGGTCTTCCTGGCACTCTCGGTCTATCTTGAGTTGTTCACACTCTGCCATCCATCTGCTGGGTAATGATACCCTGTGGAAAGCCACATACAGAGAACAGGCCTGCCAAAGTCACAGGGACATGCTTAGAAGTGGACCCTTAAGGTGATGCCACAGCCCTGCTGACAGGGGGACTACCACCTCGTGAGAGACCCAGAGCCGGGAGCACTCAGCTGTACCAAGCCCAAATTCCAGACCCACTGAGACAGAGATCAGAAGTATGTTATAAGTGTGGGAGAAACTTATTGTCCAGCCGTGGACAGAAAATTGAATTGATTATTCATCTCAAATTGCATCTTAATCACCATCAATCCTGTCAAAACCAGCTTGTGGTCTTTGAAGTTCATAATTTTCTTATAAATTTGATTTCATGGTTGAGTTACAATCATGCAGTTCTTTTAAAGGTTTATCTATATTTTATGTACATGAGTGTTTTGCCTGAAAGTATGTATGTGTACCACATGTGTGTCTGGTGTTTGCAGCAATCAGAAGAGGGCATTAGATCTTCTGGAACGAGTTATGGACAGTTAGTGACCATGTGGGTGCTGGGAACTGAACTGGGGTCCTCTGCAAGAGCAGCCAGTGCCCTTAAGTGCTGAGCCATCTCTCCAGTACCAAGCAACTCTTCTTTTTGTTATTTTGTTTTGAGTCACGGTCTCACTATGTAGCCCTGACTGGCCTAGAACTCAGAGATCTGCCTTCCTTCTGCCTCCTAAGTGCTGGGATTAAAGGCATTCACCACCCAGCCTGGCTCCATTCAGCTATTTTTATTGCAAGTTAAATGCTAATTCATATTGAAGCCCTACCTCAGTAGGAATCATTGAGGACAATGCAGGGTTTGCAATCCATTTCTTTAAGATGTCTACATATTGGTGAATTCTGAGGTGTGTGGACCATCCTCAGGCTAAGATCATTTGTGTATAAGCCCCAGAATTTCATTATGAATTGTCATCCTGTAGACAAGTGTGATTTGTGGAAGAAAGGGATAGACCAGGCTGGCCTTGAACTCACAGAGATCTGCCTACCTCTGCTTCCCACCACCATGCCCAGTTTGTCTGCTCTTTTTAAAAAAAATTTCATTTTTATTTTATGTGTATGAGTGTACTGCCTGCATGTGTGTAAGTGCACCTGTGTTGTGCAATGCCCATGGAGGTTAGAAGAGGGCATCAGATACCTTGGAACTGGAGTTACAGATGGTTGTTAGTCGCCACGTGGATGCTGGGAATTGAACCCAGGTCCTCTGCAAGAGCAGCCAATGCTCTTAACTGCTGAGCCATCTCTCCAGCCCAGATGTCACCTCTTAAACACACAGATCTGTGAACTGTTTACTTCTAATATTCGAATATTTGTAAATGACTGCCAGCCCCCAACTTAAAACCATTCAACGGTGCCCACTGCTTTAGAGAGGAAGCCCAGATCTTTTCTAACAAGGCTCCTGGGGTCACCTGGGCAACCTGTCCTTCTCAGATCAGCTTCTGTACCTCTCTCCTTCCTGCCTGGAATGCCATGCTGCCCCGGCCCAGCTCACCCCACATCTTTTCACTCCTATTAATTTTGCATCCCTTCTCCTCCTGGCTCACAGTTGTCGAAAGAGTCAAGGACAACTGAGATCGGAAGGTGGTACCGCCTCCACCCGTGATGATGGACGTCAAAGCAGGAAGTGTGTGTGTTTTCCTCAGCACTGCCCGACACACAACAGGTGCTGGGGTCTGGGTTGGATGACAAAGTGCCCTCTGTTCAGGCTCATCTACTGGCACCTAGACTAGGCTCTGGAGAGTCCAGGATGGTGATGAGGTCACTGGCCAAAAGGGCAGAACAGCCTGGGAGGGCAGAGACAAGGTCCCCAGACTTGGCACTAAGCCATCCTGGAAGCAGGAATTTTGCGTGTGGCACCCTTCTAATGCGCTGGTCAACAGAAAGCAGCTTTGTCCAGCATCAAAGCCAAGGGGTCTTTGGAACACCTTCCTGTCACACCCTGGAAACAGTAAGACAAAGCCTCCCTCCCAGCCTGAAGCCTGAAACTTGGCACGCTCCCACTCTCCACCTCGGTCTTCTGTGTCATCCTCCCGCCCCGTCTGGAGAGCTAGCTTGTTATCCATCATGCCTAAGACCATTGATTGCTAACTAGGCATCTCTTCTGTATTGACTGTCCGTCTCCCCACCTCCCTGAGAACTGTGTTTTCCTGTATCTTCGGCACTGACCCAGACTGGTCCAATTGATACTTAACCAGAACCAAACAGGGGCCAGCTGGAGCCTCAGAACCCTCAGGCCCCGCACAGCTCGATGGCAGGTGGGAGGCTCATGAGGCGATCCGGCAAGTTCTCAGGAGGAATTCCTCTCATAGCTGGGCAAACAGCCAACACAGGTGGGGGGCGTAGAAGTTGGCCATCACCCTGGATACAGGGTACACTAAGTGCTCCTAAAACCAAGTTATAACAATTGCAAAATGATTGCCGAAGCCAGCACAAATTCTTTCCCAAACCATCCTGAGAGTCAGAGCTCCAAGTAAAAGGCACAATTAAAGTGAGTCACTGGGCTCTGCACTGACCCTGCAGGATGTACTGTCTTGCCTGGCCTTCCTCCCTCACCACACTCCTGCGGACCGGTTCTTGGTGTGGTTTTGTTTCTTGTGGTATTGAGCATGGAAGCTGGGGCCTATAGCATGCTAAGCAAGCAGCACCCCACCTCTGAGTCCCACCCTCCCCCAGACCCTGGCTCTGTATCTTCATTGCAACGCCTTGTATTTGTAAGGCCACCTCTGGAGACAGCACTCTCCCAGCTAGCCTTTGCTGTGCACTGCCAGCGTCACTGACCTGCCCATCTGTCTATAGAACTAGCCACACATTCCAAGGCTCCCTCAACCCTTCAATGTGCTGCAAAGAACACCTGGTTCACGACCAGACAGGAAACACACCTGCAGACAGGTTGCCTTTGAACAGTGCCTCTGAACAACTTGGTGGAATGAAGTCCACCTGGCTAGAGCAGCTCCATTTGGTTGCACCCAAACTCACACTTGCACACCTGGATCCCAGAAACCTTGATGACAACCATGTACGCATCAGGAGTACTTAGAAAATACCCAGCCTGGTGCAGAAAATCAAAAGATGGAAAAAAAAAAAAATAGGAAGAGGTGGAAAGAGACACCTGTGTCCGCAAAGTCAACTTCAAACTGGCATTAATAATGTATTACAAAGTATGACAGGAGAGCCACGGCCTTAACAGATGACCCAGCTCAGTGCTAATTCACAAGATTACAGAAAAACAGATGTTTTCCAGTCCTGCAGTTCGCAACTGTAACCCCAGAATTCTCACATCGACACTGACATATACAATGTCCTCTGTAAATGTACAAATATTAAGAATCATACTATCAAAATGTTTTAATACTTGGCATTCTTTGGAAAAATAGAAAACTGAAACATTACAGGGTTTTTCCCCCCTAAATTTAACCCGAAAGTTTAACCCCACCCTTACCTTCCACCACCTGGTGAAAAAGCCCACTGTGAGATCCTGCTCTTTATGCGCAGGCCCAGGGGCTATTGAAGTTTAAGTTCTGGGTAGCCAGGAGCTCCCCCCTGATGTAGACCTAGTAGATTTAAGTCAGTTGTAGGCTCCCCCCTCCCCCTCTCCCCCTCTCCCTCTCCCTGTGTGTGTTGAGCTCCTGCTCTCAGACCCTGAAAGGTGCCCCCTTGCAAAACCAGAGAGAACAGTGCTGGGTCACTGTCTCACCCGCTGCCCCAGGTGCCCCAACAAGAGTCACAGAAACAGCTTTATGGGACAGCCATGTCTGCTGGTCCTGTGAGAAACTCCTAGCACTGAAGTCCTGCAACTCTGTCCTACAGGGTCCCCTGGAGGTTCAAAGTCAGTACACAGCACAGAGTGGCCTTTAAAAACCATACTGATAGGAGTCCCACTGTGTCACTTTGATTTTTACTATTATTGTTAAACTTGGGCAAGATTATTTTGTCGGGGGGTCTTCTGTGTCCCCCATCTCCTCCAGTTCCAACAAGCTCTGAAAAATCCATGCAGCTTGGGTGTGGAGGGGTCAAAACCCAGGGTTAAGTGCTTCGCCGCCTGTGCACCCTTCGACATCATAGCCTCAGTCTCTCATTCCCAAAATGGGCTGCAATGTCTGGGTTAACTGGTGACTTCCGCGGGCAGTGGTAGCTGCGTTGCTACGAAGCCGGCTTCCTCCCTGAGCACGGCAGGCGCTGCGCCAGCTCGGAGCCCACGGAGTCCCGCCCGACAGATGTGGGATCCCGTCCCGAGCCAGTCGCCCGGACTCACCAGGGTCTCTACCTCGTCCTTCTCCAGCACCTGGTACCGGTGGTACTGGCCCAAGAAGGCGAGTTTCTGCAGGAACTTGAGGCGTCTCCCCATGGTGAGCGCGCCCAGGCTGCTCCGGGCGGGTCGCCTCCCTGCCCCGTCCCTAGGGCCCTGGCGAGGCCGGCTGCTGCGCGCCCGAGCCTCCCGGGCCGCCAGGTTGCCGGGGAGCTGCCTACCTGGCCGCGCAGGTGAGCTCCGCCCCCGGGCGTGGCTTCAGCGCGCAGGCCCCGCACCTGGCCCGTCCTCCCCCGTGCGCACCGGGCTGCGCGCGACCCTAGAAGGGCTGGAAGCCTGCAGGACCCAAGAGCCACCGTCCTTCCCCAAACCGCCTAAATCCTAAGAATGAGCCTCGAGGGAAGGTGGGGGAGCAAAGCGTGTTTAAAATCCCGCTCCCAGACCCCTCTCCACTGAGTCTTCCCGGCTGGGCCAAACCCCAAGTTCCCAGGATGTGTGGGCAACACGGACACATGGGCAGGGGCCGAGCCAGCCACTTACCTGGCCCTGTGCAGCGCTGCACCAGTTTCTTGGCCTCTCTGAGCCGCCTGGCTGAGCCCTTGCCTGCAGGCGCCTGGGACCTAGTCTGGGAGCAGGGAAATTGGGGGCACCACAGCCACCTATGGCCCCCTGTGTTCTTGGAGGATCTGGGCTTTTATGTTAACTGGTAGAACAGCCTCCTCCCTTGCTAATGGTGGACAAGTGTCTCCCATTCCCAGAGCCTTGGATTAGTGCCAAATAGCCACCAGGGTAAACCTCCCTCCCTTTTGAGACTGAGGGTCCCCAGGGCAGTGGCCTGGTTGAGGGAGGTCCTGCAGGGCTGAGCACAGCATGGTTGTGCCACCAGTTGGATGGGACGCTGGGGAGTTGTGGCACACGGCTCCCGAGAGCCAGGAACCTGTGTACCCTGTAAATTGCTTCTGGCTGCCCAGTGTGCACCTTGGAAAGAGAGATGGCTTCAGGTGGGACTAGGGTCCCTAACTCATACAGCAGACGGTGACCTTGGGAAAGGTTGGACCACACCAAGGTCCTGGGTTTACCGTGGACCACAGCGATGGTCCACATATTTCTTCATGTAACTAAGCTGCCCCCTTTAAGCAAATATTTTCCACCTGCTTCACTGGCTCCCCTAAGCCACAGCACCCCAGTTCCATTCAACGTGAGGAGACATTTCAGTGGGTTTTGTGTCTCCCTTGCATTTTTCTGTTTGTTTTATTTTATGTGTATGAGTGTATTGCCTGCATGTATGTAAGCACACCCGTGTCATGCAAAGCCCTCGGAGGCCAGAAGAGAGCGTCAGATCCCCTGGAACTGGAGTTATGGGGGGTTGGAAGCTGCCGTGTGGATATTGGGAACCCAACCAGGGTCCTCTGCAAGAGCAGACCACTGAGCTGTCTCTCCAGCCCCAGCATCTTCCTCTCTTTTTAAAATGTTTAAAAAATATTTTTTATTATTTTTATTTTATGTGTATGAGTGTATTGCCTGCATGTATGTAAGTGCACCTGTGCCATGCAAAGACTGTAGAGGCCAGAAGAAGGTGTTGAATCCCCTGAAGCTGGAGCTACAGACAGTTGTTAGCTGCCATGTGGGTGCTGAGAATCAAACCCGGGTCTTCTGGAAGAACAGCAAGTGTTCTTAATCGCTGAGCCATCTCTCCAGACCTGCATCTTTATCTCTTAACAAAACCAAAGCACCTCCATATCGCTGCTTGCCCCCACAGTGAGGCCCCTGCCACCACCACAAGGCTCCACCCCCACCATGGCCCCTTCACCCCAATCTCGATGGACCTGCCCGCTGGTCCATCAAGGAAGGGAAACTGTTGTGCTCTTTCAGCTTTGTAGTATGGGCCACTCTCATCCAGATGTGTGACCTTTGGCAACTTTCTCCACCTCCATCTCAGTTTTCTCCTCTGTGAAATGGGGTGACATGACATACCCACCTGTATGAGTCAGGAGGACCTGGAAGGAAACAGCACCTTCAAACAGTGATCTGAGGGAAGCTGGTGGAACAGCCTGTCCCCAAAAGTGTGGGCTCAGGGAGGGGAAGCAGAAAGGACCCAAGATTGGCAACAGGGTAAACTGGCTACTCTGCAGGCCTGGCCTGCCACCGGGGCACCTGGAGGGGCAGCTGTGTGGAAGAGGGGACCTCAGGGGAGGAAAGTGGCTCTGGTCACTGGTGTCCCCTTCTAGTGTCCCTAGGAGAAGGTTAAGAAAGTGTTCTGTGGGAGCAGTGGAGAGGCACCTAGAACCTGCCTAGGGCCCGTTGTGCTATGAGAGTGTGTGTGCAGAGTGGCACCCGTGGCACTGCCCTACGTGGCAGGTCTTCAGGAGTGTCCACTGTTAATGTAGGGCACACTTGGGAACTTGGCTCCATTATTTCCTGGGTCTTTTGTGGTCCAGCATTCCATGATTCTAAGGACAATGCAGAGGTGGCATACAGGCTCTCCCCTCCTGAGTGTGGTGCTCATCGGGGCAATGCAGCCTCTGGGGGTCCCAGTGATGGGTTGGTGGGTGCCTAGCCTGAACAGCTGATCACCATGACCCCACTCTCCCACCCGAGGTATGGAGGCTGGAAAGCAGTGAGATCAACCTGGAGACCAGCATCCTCAGGCTTTGGACATTTAAATGCCAGCTTTGCACTGTGATGAGAAAATGTAGCCTGCACATAGGATGGCTAGATTTCTTTGAGCTGTTGTGATGCACTTGCAGGCCCTGCTCCAGGCATATACCTTCATGGTACTGGAAAGGCGGGAGTGGTCTTTGTAAGCTAGCTCATTCTGGTTTAGTGGTTTGGATACCTTATTTGTGGCTGTTTGATCTGACATGGGAATATAAGGGTTTTAAAATTGTGTGTCTGTGTATGTGTTTAATGTATTTGCCTGCATATATGTGTGTGCCCCATGTGAGCACAGGAACCCATGGAGGACAGAAGAGGGTGTCAGATCCGCTGGACCTTGAGTTGCAGGTGGTTGTGAGCCTCCATGTGGGTACTGGGAACCAAACCCTGGTCCTCTGCAAGATCAGGGAGAATGCACAGCAGATGGCGCTGAGCGCTCTCCCCAGTCATTGTCCTGCCCGTTTCTGAGTTCTTCTGCGGCCTGGTTAGTGTGCAGATCTGGCCTCCTCTACCTCCCTCAGGCTCATGCCTGTGCTGTTTGAGGCAAACACTTTTCACTTTAATTCAGAATAAACAAGGTTCTTGTACAAGTGTCCCCCAGCAGTGACACCTGCTGTTTCCTTTTGTTTTCAATCTCCTGTTCCATGTCTCAGCTTGGAAGATTCTAGAACCCACCCTAAAGGAATATCTTCAGACAAAACAACCAACCGGCTGGGAAGCTCGAAGGTATGCAGCTTAGAGAGTGGCCCTGACACCTGCATCAGGGAGGGGAGGCAAGGGAGTGGCCAAGCAGAAGTATGTGGCTCTTCTTGAATTGTTGGCCCTGGACACCTTGAGCAACCGGTGAGGTCACTCGGGTCAACTCCCTTCACTCTCTCTTTGAAAGTGGAGTCCTTTCATTACATATGAATTGGCTCCTAACAATGCACCTCACCAAGGAGTTTTGACACAATCTCAAGGCACCTCCAATTTATTTGGTAATAAACTGCACTCCCAGGTTTGGCAATGGAAGGTGTCCCTTTCAGAAAGGGTACACTAAACAAAGGTGCAGTTCAGATATATCTTTAAGTTGTAGGCATGAGGTGGAAGTTATGAGTTGACTCCTTGCACAAACACGCACCCACTTGTGTGTTAGAAGTTGTACACAGGAAATAATAAAAATCTTTGAACCAGGTCTGGCAGTCCACATCTATAATCCCAGCACTCAGGAGACACAGGCAGGAGGATTGCTGTGAGTTAAAGGCCAGGCTGGGCTACATAGTGAATCCCAGGCCAGCCTCAGCTATAGTGAGACCTTGTCTCAAAACAATAATAATAATATAGTGCATAGATGAAGAAAATCAGGATGCTGGAGATACAACCATCTCATTGTTATTCAATAGGTATTTGTGTGTGTACATGTTCATGTGTCAGTGGTGCGCATGTGTGTGCAAGTGCCCATATATGTGGAGGCCCAACTGTAATGTTGTCAGTCACTCTCTGCCTTGTGTTTTTAAGACAGGGTCTCTCACTGGCCTGGGGCTCACAAGTTTGACCAGACCAGCTAGCCAGTGAGCCCCAGGGATCCACTTGTCCTCACCTCCCCAGTGTTGGATTTGCAGTTGTGTACCTGGTCTTTTTTGTTTTTTACACGTGTTGTAGGAATTGAACTCAGGTCCTCATATTTGCTTGACAAACACTACCGCCTGAGCCACGTCCCAGTCCTTCAACAAATACGTTTTTAAGCTGATGCACATGGCAGTGTGGAAGGAGCTGGGAACACAGCTTACTGTGGCCCTGTCCTCTCCCGTCTTCTCTCCTACTGTGTGAGAGTGCTTCGGGCTGCCATAAATCCCTGTGTGGTGCAATCACAGGCAGTGAGGTTTCAAGCGGTATAACGGTCCCAGTGAAGACAGGTCCTGTTCAAACCCAGGCCATATTCATTACTCACTGTGACAACATGCCCGAGAAAAGGAATTTAAGGAAGGAAGGGTTTAATTTGGCTCACAGTCTGAGTGTGCAGTCATGGCAGGGAAGGCATGGCGGCAGGAGTGTGGGGCGGCTGGTCATGTTGCATCCACAGTCGGGAAGCAGAGAGAGATGAGTACTGGTGCTCAGTAAGCACCCTCCTTTTATTCAGTCCAGACCCTCAGCCCCTAGAGTGGGGTTGCCCACACTCAGGTGAGTCTTCCCACCTCAGCTAACCTGGATAATCTCTCACAGACATGCCCAAAGATTTGTTCCCATGGTGATTCAAAATTCTATCAGATTGACAAAGAAAATGGACCATCATCATACCCAGAGACAGTAGGCCCTCATCTGGAACAGGCACACTTATGCTAAGGCTCTGGAGGCTCTTTCAGCCTGAGCAGACTGGGCACTCCTGACTCTGGGTCTGGTTGGTGTCATTAGAAGCGACAGAAGAGGAGATGGGCAGGTGAGGAAGGCTCAGGAGTTAGAGTGTCACTAAGACAAGGAACAGCTGGGGCCACCCAAAGAAGAGGCATCTTCCCCTGGAGCCTGCGGAGGGAGTGCAGTCCCCGAGGTGGCTCAATCCCAGTTTCGGACTGTGGGACTGACAGAACAGATACCTGCTG